GAACTATCTCCTGTTACATTGGAACGATCTACGATCGCAGCACGGTGCGAGGTAGTTCTTTGCGTCCCTACATCGCAGCAATCGGAGCGCAGCACCGCCGACTGGGTCTGACAGACCTCACCGCTCATCCGCTCGTTCAGGCTACGCGACGCAGGTTCATAGCACAGGACGCCCACCGAGCTACCGGTCCACCCTCTCGGTCTGCCCCACTCCCTGCAGCACTCGCCGCTCAAGCCCTATACCGAGCCCTTACTGCCGCCTCAATCCACGAACTGCAGCGCTGGGGATTAGTCGCCTTGGGTTTCGTCATTTGCGGTCGTCCTACCAGTATCCGCAATTTACGCCGTAGTGACATTCAGCTCATCGACCCTGGAGCGGTAACACTCCAGTTGTTGGTCTTCAAGTATGGAGAGACTGGAGCAGCGCCACGTGTGGCACTCCGCATACCCTCTACAGGGATAAGCGACCCTGTTATTGTGCTACTGCGGAGATGGTCGCCGCAGCACCGCGCGATGAATCGTTTCTATTCCCGAGCGGCGGGCCTCTACCATCGGAACCGGCCTCCGCCTCCTCATTATCAGCTACATTACGGGAACTGACCCACAATACCCGACCGCCTGCCGGAACGAAGTTCACACCTCGATCCCTGCGAAGTGGGGGCATCTCAGCCGCCTATGCGGCCGTTGTTCCGCTCCCCGTCGTCATGCGTTTGGAAAATCACCACACTGAAGCTGTGGTGCACCGCCATTACCTTGACGCTCTTACTCGAGTCACACCTGCTGCACGGTTATTTTTTGCGCGCTTCACGCGCAATGCTGGGCATCCGCCCAGTCTTGCGTAGTTGGCAACCACAGCGCAGGGGTCATTCTTACGGTCAGGTATCCACGGATCACTATGTAATGACCTACGCTGCGCGATGCCTGCGCGCCTACTCTTGGACACGGGTGCACGCTGTACACGTGGACAAGAGGACGGCGTGGCTGGGCAGTGCACTCTCTTGCCGTCGGCGCGGAGGAGGCGCACCGGAAGAGCCAGTCATCCGCTTCTCTGCCCTCCCTTCCCTTCCCCGGCGGCTGCGCTGGCAGCCATTATCCGCTCTGTGCGTGTGTTAGGCCCATTAGGGGCCAAACACTTAGAATATTCCGACCTCGGTACCACAATAGTTCAAGTTATTCAATTTACTTCTCCTGAATAAAATGATGTGTCACGAGGCAACCACAGCGCAGGGGTCATGATTACGCCGAGACCACGTACGGTGGTGGTCATTAGTTTCGCCCGACACGGACCCTCCATCCTCACACCCATTAGGCCCTGCCGCTGCTGTGGCGGCAGGGGCCGCCAGCGCCAAAACCTCGGCCGAACGCCAAGGGGAGAGCACAGTAGAGAACTACGGTACTCTTGAGTATGCAATATTCCGACAACCCGGAGGGCGCGAGGTCACAGAGCTGCCGTCGCCGCCGACCAAAATAATGCACCAGAGTGCCAACTGCAGTCCAGTATCCTTAGTATCCTTCACCTCTCATACCTCAACCATCGCCACATGGACAGCATCTGCCTTTTTTGAAGTATAGGTTACTGTATCTGGGTACTCGTCTCTGTACAGTAAAGGGGGGGGAAGCTAATTATTGAACGGTGGCGCTTTGAAGCGTGTCTAAACGCTGCAAGTCCCTCAATTTTAAAATAAATTAAAATGGTTTAATAGCGCGTCAAGCGCCTGTAAACCATTCCAACTCTCAACCGAAACCCATCAGCCAAACAAATTCCACACCAACATCTTTGGCATCGTCTGAGCCCCTCATTTGCCGTAGAAACGAACCTAATGATTGAACAGAAATCAGAAAAGGCCCGTCTGAATTTTACTTTTTTGAGAATTATCCGGATGCCACGTCATTAGCGGTGAGCTCTGCTATTAGAAAGAGCTCTCATTTTCGCAATCGCACGACGTTCCTTCATGGAGCGGACGCTCTTTGCAAAGTCCTGCACTGTCAAACCTGCCATGTGCGCTCTTCGCAAACATTGCGCCCCGCGCAATTTCGTGCTTTCGTTCCGTAGCTTAGTGTAGCGTTTAGCAGCTCGAAGCTCACGTCCTAAACGTACTCGTTCTTCCGTTTCTCTCTTCTTTCTGTCCTGTTCTTTCTTTTTTTCACGAGTTCCAAAACCCTGGCTGACGTCATTACACATCTGTTGGTCGTGTCAACATATCCACAATCTAAAACGGGGGCATCGGAGCCTAGAATTTTGGCTTGAATAGAGTTTCTCTTGTGTTCAAAATATTCGGTGAGCTCATCGACTCCCACAAAAGCTGCATCTCTTTTACCACTCTCCGGTCTCGGTTCCCCAAGCAAACGTCTGGCATCGACAGGCCAAAGTCCAGAACGACGAAACGAGGCCTTAATGTTCTCCCTAGTGAATGCGGTGTCGTAACTCTCACGTATGATACTGCATAAACCAAATATGTCTATACTGCCGTCTCTGCCAAACCCTGTACAGTCATGAGCGGTATTGTTCAGAGCTGCTTTGAACGCTGCAAACAGCACTGTGTCGAGGGGCTGAGTTTTTCCTGAAGTGTGGGAAGGGAGCGCATAGACAATCACGCGATTTTTGTGGAACGCTTCCAGTACCTGCAACGATAAGTGAAAGGGTAGCCGTCGTATACTAGCATAACCGTCCGCCCTTCACCTCGCAAGTCCTTTGTGAATTCGATAAAGCTATATGCCCATGACAGAAAGTTTTTTGTGTCCACCCCGTCTCCCTCTATGCGTGTTGCAAGCACTGACCGTCGAGGCAGACGGCTTGCAGGGCTATCGACGTACACCCTCCCATTTCGAAGCACATATTTGTACGCCATGCGGTTTCCTTTTATGACAAACAATGGGGGCCCCGCTTCACCGGCTGCACTTATAACGGGCATCATCGTTACTCTGTCTTCATATCTGAATGAAGGGCAGACAAAGTCTTGATTCCTGCGCCTGGGTAAAATCCTTTTACAACCCAGGCGGCCGCTGGCATCCTTGTTAGGAGAGATGCCAACCTCGTCCAAATTAAAAATTCGACTTGCGTCAATATCGTTTTCATTTACCAGCTTTTCGACGGTGGCAAAATGCGTCGTGAGAGACTCCATGTTGACTGCAGCGAGCCGTTTGCTCTCTTGGGAAAGCGGCCTTCCAAATTTGATCCGCGCAGCATGACGTCTTCGAAAAGCCCTCAGATAGAAGTCGCTAGGAGAACCATGTTTGAAAGGCAATGTTACTCTCTCAGCCGGGGAAAGCCGGGAAACCACGAACAAGACGGCCTCTCTTAAATGGTGTTGCGTCAACGGCAATCCTCTGCGAGCAAAACGAAGCAGCATCTCAACAATTTCATTCTCTTGCGGCCTGGACAGTGCCGTTTTCCGTCCAGGCTTTTGCAGAGGGGTGGTCATACGATAATGAAGGGTCCCGACTGGCACATGGAACAGTTTCGATGCCTCGCGATAAGGCATGCCATGTTTGATGGCTTGCATCGCGCTATTGATCTTCCGTTCACGCAGTTGCTTCGCACTAGCGGTGCGCATTGTGTGGTGTCTCAAACGGTGTGGGTCGATCTGACTTCAGATCGAGACAAGCAGGTAAAATGAAACAGGAGCAGGGAAGGGAAGTCAAAATGTGTCGTTATCAGTACTTTACTCTGTATTGGGCCTATATCTATGAACTGTGTCAAATGATACTTGTGAAAAGCGCGCCCTCGAAGTAAAAAAAACGCCAAAAGACCGATGGTCAGTTTTGTTTTTGAAGTTATCCACCGGTTTTGGAGGGATACTGACGTCATTACCTCGAATGTGATGTCATATAGCAAGAGAATGAGCTATTTAGTTAAAATAATGTTGTTTTTTGCGGAAAGTTTGCTTGTTCAAGATTTGATGCAACTGTTCAACAGTTGCACAACCCCCCTTTACACGCTGGCGGGGTGAAACTCCCCGGAGAGTAGCGAGTGGCTGTAATTACTATCAGCCAACCGAGCGTACCTCATCTCGCAGCCCCTCTGCTCCGTAGTACTTAATAAGCCACCGTGAGCCTCCTGACAGCCCCCCTCTCCTGGCTATGTCTATTTCTCTTGCCCGCCAAGCCCCGGCTGCGCCGCCCTCTTGGTACAGTAGTATGTTTTCTTTATGTTTTCTCTATGTTTTCTCTATGTTTTCTTTATGTTTTCCAGTTCAGTTTAATGGTTTGCGTAGCCTTTGTGAGTCCCCTCTTAGCCGATGTCTCGTGACCGACTAGAACCAATAAACTACGAATATATTCACACACGTACACACATACATGCCTGCGGCGTGCACGGATGTCTGCGGCGTCAGAAGCGCGTCTATTCTGTTTGCACGGCACTGCAGTGCACATGTGAGAGGCAGAGGAAGATGCGACCCAATCAAGAAGAGAGCTCAGCCAATCAATGAGGTCAACGGCGGTTTCAACCGCCGCAACCGCCGTTATAAATTTCACGATCCATTCAGAATCGGCACAGCAGCTTTTGTAAACACTAAACTGCTTAAAAGAAACAAAAAAAGAGGTTCGTTCCGCCTCCCCAAGCCCCCACTCCGCCGCCGAGCGCCGGTCAAATGAGTACCGGCGCCAGGCAAGGACACGCAACTTCCCGAAGCTTCTGTTGGATATCGCTACTACATATACTGTGCACATCCCTCTCCACCTGTCTCCTGGCCAGGGGGCTCAGCTTCATTCCCCACCACGTGATCGCAAACCAATAACATGCTTGGCGAGAGATTGCCCGGAGGCATAGCTGATACATCTCCGGAAACTCAACCGCCAAAAAGGCCGTGCCTCTAGCGTTTGAGCAGACAGAATTATTCAACTATGCACGTACGGACCTACCTAGCACAATCTGCCATACTTTGATGACATTTAGTGAGATGCATCCAGACCGCAGACTGCCGCTACTTGTGGATGCCATGATCGTTTCCAAAAAGCCGAGATTGTGTGAGGCCCGAGGCGTATGAATCGGACGCTCTCATGCCTCCCGTTTTCTCTTGCATGAATGTGGCGCTGTCTTCACCTGTACAGCAATTTGAGCACCATGCTTCTCTTTTAGCGAAAAAAGGAATCCAACCTCGACGACACTCTTACTGTCTGCAATGCCGAGAATTGAGAAAGTATATAAATACCCTCAGGGGATCCCACCACAGTATCTCCTGCTTTCTTCACTACACTTCACTCACCTCGCCGACCAACTTCAACTTTCCGCCACTCTCCTCTTCTTTCAACTCTCCAAACCTCAACAATGAACTCCACCGCTTTCGTTGCAGCCACGCCAGTCCTCGCCCGGGCCACCCCGGCACTCACGACTTCCTCCTTTTCGGCTCGCCGTCAGTTTGTCACTCCCCGGGCTCGTCGCGCTGCCGTCGTAACCATGGTCGATAACGACAACAAGAAGATCCCGCAAGGCTTCACACTTTTCTCCGAGCAGATCAACGGCCGCGCCGCCATGTTCGGCTTCGTCCTCGCCGTCGCCACCGAGGCACTCACCGGGAAGGGTATCATCGGCCAGGTCAGCGCGCTCCTCGACGTCTCGGGCGTCGCCTCCGCTCTCGGACTCTAAGCCGGCCCCGCCACGTGCTCTGGAAGATAGATTGCTATACAGTAGAATCGCTTTTCACTTTGGTGCGGGCTAGTCTCATGATGCGGTCGAACAGAATTTACACTGTTGTAAATTAAACCTATAGTACGTGAAACGTCTGACTTGATTCAGTAGCGCCACCAGTCGAGAGTACAGCAGTCCACGACTTGTTTGACAAGGCCAGCAACGCGGCGATGTACATTATAAAGTGTAGCCACGACTCGAAGTGTGAACACCTTGCGCCGAGCGCACCCCCCGGCTCAGTGCGGTGCGTACTGTCATCACGCGACGCGAACCTTACAACAGTACGCGTAGCACAGGTGTACAGCATGTACACCAACCAGCTGCTAGCGGAGGACAGGCGACGGTGCTTCACGACGGTGGAAGTAAGAGAGTACCAAGGGTGCTGTACAAGTAGAGCAGAGGCGATCGATCCTCTAGTGTCTAGACGACAAGCAATTTGACCTCATATGAGGCCAGCTTTTTTTTTGCAAAAATATATAAATTAAATCGAAACTTTAAAACATTCAGTTTGGACACCATTTCTTTAACGTATACGCGCTCGGCAATAACATATTGCAAAACATTGGGATGGCGGTTTTCAATGCACAGAGAGACTAAGAATCTAATGAAGTATCAATGATGAGTTGACTTTTTAAACAGGCGTTTTGGTTGTGAAGATATCAACATAAAACGTTTTGAGGTTGGTCAAAAAAGACTCCTTTTTGGGCATTTTAAAAATGGCTGGAGAAGACGTGCAGATCTCACCAAACTCCACCCTTCCACAACGCAGAAGTCAACTGCCGTGTCGAGAGTATCTTTTTTCCATCTTGTTGAGCTAGCACAAGTCGAGAAAAATAAGTTGAAAAGTGGCCTCATATGAGGTCATTTGTCACCTAGACACTAGAGGAAGAGAGGGGGATTAAAAAGGAGAGAGAGATTCCATTTTGAACCAAACGGCTCGTTCTATCCTTACACGTACCCTTGGTACTGTACTCTGCTGTGCGGCATGCTGAATTTCAAACGTTGGCTGATGCATCGCGATTGCTTCGGTCCCCCAAAACCGCTCCACGTTCCCTTCGAAGTAGCAAATGTTTTTGTAAATTCTGGCATTGCCTTTGTTTTTGAAGTAGTTGCAATCATCCTCCAAATATTTGTCATTTTCAACGCAAACTTGCGTCGGTTTTAGATATTTTTTGGCATTGTAGATTCGCGCACGACCGTCCTCGGCGATTTATCTGCACCAATTGAGGGCCTCCTTTAAGACAGCATGGACCGCCATGTTTGGATGTATATGTTTGCGATTTTCAAAATATTACATGTCCAATAATTTAATGTATTGTGTCAGCGCGCCGTGATCCGTAAATTGGCTCAAGGGGTGCTTCATACCGGGCTATCGATAGGGAAGCGAACGGTCTTTCTGAGCAGTGATGCAAGGAAGTGGCTGCAAAAAAGCCGCAAATCTCATTATCTTACAGTGCCTGGTTCGATATAGTGCCGTTTTCGGCCCACTGACAGAGGGAGGCACTATATCGCGATCCCCGTGTACTGGCATTCAGGGACGTCAATAAAATGATTAAATTGAATTTTAATGTATGCTAAATTGGATCAAGATTGAATTCTATCGCACTTATGCGGTAGGCGACAGCCAATGGTGTGCTCTCGTATGGCACGTTGGTAGCGACAGATTCCATTATATTAACTTCGTGTGCGCCATCATACTGTTAAGAAAAGTATTAAATGGACCAATCAGGTGCACGCTGACGTCCATACATGTCCAAACATGCCCGTCCATGCTGTCTTAAAGGAGGCCCTGAATCACACGTGTACAGTAACTCTCCAATCATTATTGCGCTCTTCAGTATCACGATGGCACTGATTCCCGTGACGCTTCCTTGAAGATGTGCACTGGACAGGTCACACCGAGATAACGTACGAAACAGTGTATCTATAATTACAGTGTTTGTCCCATCTGTTGTCACGCTCCCTTTGACGGTTCGCAATTCGAAACGGTGTTTGCCTCGAATTGTTTGGTCACAAATAGGGAGAACCCGACTGTGACGGCCCATAGAGGATCTTCAGGGTGGGTAACCAAAACCATACTGTACACAATATATTTTTGAACCTGCGCTTAATTAATTCGTGGCGATTCCCAGGAATTCCCAGGAATCGCCACGAATTAATTAAGCGCAGGTTCAAAAATATATTGTGTACAGTATGGTTGTGGGACCACATGCTGCCCGTACCTTGCCCTGCATCTACGACCTTGGTGGAATATTCTGATATTCCGCTTGATTCCCTCTTGATCAGTTGCCAGCTCGACATAGACCCGTCTTGATCTCCATCCCTCTTTCGTTTCTTCTGCAATGCCGGCTTTCATTTTTTGTCCCTCCTCTTGTCACCTCATACCCTTCGAAGGGTACCTTCCTTGTCTTCGCGTCAACTTTAGAGATGGCCTTCCCATGAGGGACTGGGGGCGGAGCTATCTCACAAACACTCCAAGCAAACCAAACAGTTTCTCCTAATATCTCTCTTTTAACCAGCCTGCGAAACATCAAACTGTATCAACCTATATTCACACCTGCGTCATCACGCTATACCTCTCCATAACTTACTTCCGTACTACTCCGTCCTACCCTAACTTACTACCATGCCGTTTCCCACCCAAGTCCACCACTACTGTACCATGCCATTTCCATGACATTTCCTATCCTGCCTTACTACAATGCCGTCCTCCAACTCAATATACACTGTCATTGCTCCAACCCACCCCTCTCGCCCACCCCTCTCGTCCTCTTCTCAGAACGCTTCCCGAACGTGGGCTCCAGAAAGTCCTTCTTTTTCATCTATCCGTCCCTATGCCACCCCACCACTCTCCATCAACTTCTTCGCCTTCCGCCTTCAGCCTTCAACTCTTGGTGACTTTTGCCCGTTATGCCGCTTTTGTGACGGCGCTCAATGAAATCGCCGACATTGGCAAGTGAAATCCGGGGGGCTTCCCTTGAGTCTTCTTCGAGCTGCTTGGCGATCCTGATGCCATGATCGATTTCGACTTGGGCTTCATGGCTGAGACATTAACTGGCAAGGGAAACATGGGTCCGGGCTGTATGCTTTTTCGCTGTTTCACGCATCTCCTTCAACTCTGGAGACCCTCTCCAAAATAAAGTTCTTGTAGTTCGGCTCCGTATATGGGGGATTGAAAAGGTTTGGCACTGCTAACTACTTTTTCAGAGATTGCTGCTCGCTACGTCTCTACAGCTTGTCAACCGCACGAAGAATTGTTGCATTATTGATGCACCATTGTCATGCCCATGGTGAGGTGGCAGTCTGCACCTAGTGCGGGAATATTTGCTGCTCTTTCCCGCATGCAATCGCAGTCGCATGCGTCGTTGTCTCTTCCTATCTCATACATTGAGGTACACTAGCCTGCGCGTTCAAATTGACGTCACTTCCAAAATTTGTAATAGATTGCCATACAATCCAGCCCCCTTCAATTTTTATCAGGGGGACGAATCGTCACAGCGCGGACAGACCATCACAGCTGACCATCACAGCGCGAACATGCTGACATGTCCGCGCTGTGATGGTCACATCAGCACTTTCGTTCAACCCACATAAACTCTATTTCAAATGGACTCGCCCATGTAGTTCCCATCGCTGCCTTCGAAATCTTCTGCACGAACGTCTACCTCTTGGGGCTGATTCTTCGTCATTCTTCTTCTTTGTATTGCGTCACCGACATCCCACCTGCGATCCGTACCTTTGTCCCATTGCAAAAGCCGTGCAAGAGGGTCCGCTTCTTCTCTTGAAGTATTGTTATCTCTGCGACGTGCTTGTAAGAATAACAACTATCACCATAGATATCTCTTCTACATTCTAACCGTACCCAGCGTCGCGCATCTGCTGATTCCGCCCCAACAAGCAGTGATTCACTATCAATAAGGGTGGCCCCGCCACCATGATATCATTGATATGCCGGCCCCTGCGGTGGCGCAACAATGTAGGTCGTATACAACAAAAAACCAAAAAACCAAAATTGCGTCACACCCGACACGCATCCACGTCTCAGTCGAGTGTACGTTAAGGATGGTGCACTGAAAGACCGCATTGTACCGCTGTTTGAAACGAGTACGTATGTACAATTTGTGGGCCTCCCGCAATTAATTTCCGGGGCCGGAACATAGAGTGTGGTCAGTGCAGTACTGTGCCAAAAGTTGTCAGTGCGTTTCTGCAATGCAGACAACAAGTTTACGAGAAGATGTTAGGCGTTCCGTCAACGGATGCGCTGCAATGCAAGATGAGAGTGTCATCACCCGACAGCCTCCTTGTCACCTCATTCCGTTTCACGTCCTTCTAATTATGAAAATCCCCCTCAAAATAGTTTGTTTGGTATTCTTGGTACAGTACCAAGGGTACTGGTACTGTATGCTATCGCATTAGCAACGCTTTCGACCTGAGCTGAAGAACGCTGTCCATTTCCTGGGCCGTTTTCCTGGGCCGTTTTCCTGGGCCGTTTTCCTGGGCCGTTTTCCTGGGCCGTGCTTTCGTTGTTCAGATGCTGTCCAAAGTCTCGCACCAAACTTCTAGTTCCGGCAGGCGTCTACGTGATTCCGTGACAGAGCCAGACGGGCATAGCAAGAGGAGAGTGCAAGAGAGGAGCGGCCTCTCCAAGCTGGAGAGCTGCAGTTTTTGTTCTCAGGGGGCACAGCAGGGCCCAGGCCCGATCTGTTACACCGTTCGGGCATTTCACAACAGTTTGTATAAGAGACCGCCAGCGGCTGCTAATTGGGAATATTATTGTTGTTGACCACGCTTCCGATGGCCAATAGTGTGGCAGATTCCGTACCATGTGTCATTGTTGGTCGGCAACAGGGTCATTGGTACTGTACCGTTTTCCTTACACGAATTGGTTCCAAAGATTGTGAATGGTCGTTGCATGCAACGGCGACAAATGTCGTCATCTGCGAGTACAGTATCCTATAATTTACCCGCGCTACTCTCTCCTCTACTGTATGTGTACCTCTTAACGATCATGCGTTTATCGTATAGGACGTATACCATAACTTCCCCAACCTGTTCCCCAACCTGTGCGCATACTATGCGCACAGGTTGGGGAAGTTTCTGTTTTAGCGAGTGGCGGACACACATATCATCGAAACGATGACCGGTGCTTTGCGAGTACAGTAATGTGATAAACGTGAAGCGGACAAGACGTGAGGCGGACAAGAATACGCATTATCGCGTGCCATGGCCTACTTTACGTGGATACAAAACGCATCTGATGACTCAACTTGGGGCATACGCATGCAAGGGGCGGAAAGGGAGGAACGATACTTCCTTCAAGCAGGCCACCGCAATTAAGCGCCCCCTGAACTGATAGTACTCTGAGGCAAGAGGAGGGGGCACCATTTCGAGTGAAAGCGTGCGGATTTGATCAGAAAGGTAGGGAAAGGAAGGCACGAGGCAGCCCGTTGGGTGAAGCGTTGCCAGCGTCGGTGCGTAAAGGTTGCTGCCGAGCACTGGTTTCAAAGGGGCGTTGAGATCGAGGGTCAGCCTATGTTTTTGGTTTTTTACGGAGGGCCATTGCAGTAACGCAGTACTGTACACTAGTTATGGAAACAAAAAATCACACCCTACCTTCTCCCCTTTTGGATGACAGAGCTTAACAAGTCTTTACGTATGATATCTCTGGAAAAGTCGAGCTGCACCACTTGTCATCCTTAATTCATACAACTCCTGCTCACTGTACGACTTGCAGCATCCAAAAGTACTTTCTGGCAAGACAACACGCACCTTCTGCTACAGTGGTAAGCATACTACCGAAAGCGTCCGACTCTCTATTTCTTAATTGTGTTTGCTTCTGGGGAGCGCCACAATTCCATGCTGTGTAGTAGAAACCACTTCTGGACAGCTGCCTTTCCACTTCATGCGAAACATGATAATCCCGCAAATACGCCGCAGTTAAAGCCAACATTCCATGCCCCACAGACTGGAAAAGTCCAGTATGTTTATTTCCTTGTCTCGGGACTTGCTAAAGAGTTGAACTCGCAAGACTTTCCAGACGACGCATGACAGTACGCGCGAAAAGGAAAACCATATGGCGATAAAACATAGTTATTCCCATGTTGACAGAGCCCACAAGCGTCGCGTTGAATACAGAAAAACGAGAATCCCATGTTGAAACTAACGCTCACCCCTCCAAAGTCGACCTCAAACTAGAGCCACTCCTTCTTGACACGGGACGCCCCAAAACAGATCACCAGTCACGATGGCTTTACACAAATAAGCCAATCGCCTTCACCACCGTTTTTACTTTTCATAGAGACCCCTGCGGTATTGACGCATAGACAGAAGCAAAATAAATTGTCTCCTCTGGCAGCGAGGAGGCGCACATACAACAAGCTCGTGTCGATGCACACACGAGTGGCGTGGCCCACACCACAAATACAAAGGCAGAAGAGAAAATCTTCTGTTTTCAGCTCTTGAGAGCTCTTTCCGGCAGCCAGGAAACACCCAAACGCAGATTGTTTTACACTTGTTGCTTTTCTCTGTGTTCGTGGCACCGTAGATCTGCAAGTATGGAACACTTTTAGATAAAACACACTATAGCAGTGAGGCGTTCCACCATGTACTGTGCAGAGTGCTTCACATTAATTGCAAGTCGCTTTTTCGAGACTCACAATACGGCGCCTGAACAGAAAGCGCTCGCCTGAACAGAAAGCGCTCTCATATACTCGTTCGCGTAACGCGCGTAATGCTTCTCCCCGTTAAGGTTTGTGGAGGAGGGGATTAGGGATTTAGGTTACTCTTAGGCCACATCGGCAGAAAACCGCATCAAACGCTGCTCAAGATCGAAGGCCATGAGCTGTAAAAAAGAGAGGATCGCGTTGCCCGACCACACTTCAACCATATCGTTGACCGTAGACGTAATGAAGGATCATTGTTCCTTGAGGGTGGAACACCTCACAAGATTTATTCCACATTCGATCTGCTCCTCAGTCTGAGAATATCCCGAAAGCATTTCCAGTGCCTTTTTGCGCCACATGACGCAGTGGACTGGTTGTAGCCTTCTTAAACGGCAGTCGTGGTCCTTCTCCTAATTTATCAATTTTCATTGGCTTCTGAATCGTCATTTAAATCTGGCAACGATGTTAACGATCGGCAACCCTCCTGACACATTTCTCTATATACACACACACCACTGTTCCTCCTCTCCCTAAATCGGAGGTACTGTGTCCACATCAATGATAGATGGCAAAGTCCATTCAATGATAGGACGCCACTGAAGCTACGTCTGTCTTTTCAACCGTACGCGGGCAACAAGTCTTTTTGCGGGCGAGCATCTGCTTTGTGCTTTGCAGTATGCACAGCAAGTTCAGGTGAAATATCTCAAAACTCACGCACGATTTAAAAGTACAACATAACTAATTTATACAGTCTGCATTGGGCGGTACTTTGCTGCTCATCAGGAGTGTCCATACATCAGCGCAATGCAACGATGCTCACCCAGTGTTGCAGCACTACCGCATAGACACTGCGTAGAACAGTCAAGTGGGGCCGTGTTGCTTGTACACTGTTATCGGATGTTTTGTACGAAAGTCACACTGCTTCTATCTTTAACTCACTCCCGACACTATATATCTAGATGCTCTCCTTCTCTCAGCACCAGTTCTTATCTCCTCGACGTCTAACTGGAAACAACCCCTCCACCTCTTCTTCATATCTCCTCGAAATCAGGACTCTCCCTTGAGAACTAAGCGACAGCCCTATCTTCAGCAACACCATGCACGAGCCGTCGCGAATGAGTTACACTTCTCATGCCCGACAGAGACTCTCTCCCAAAAACCGTGAGAAAAGAGTGACCCAACGAGTTTGTTACTCGTGCAAAGCCACTCAAACTACGCAATGGAGATATGATCGTACAGGTAAGTCTCTTCCCTTTCCGTGATCAACTTAACGTCGCACTTCTCAACGCGCGATACCCTTGGCAAGCACAGCTTACTGACACTCATGTTTTCACTGCAACAGGAACAATACTCTTATGCAATGGGTGTGGAATTAGATGGCGCCGTGTGAGCGGGCCAGAGGGTCGACGAATCCGCCCTGGGCCGAAGTCCACAGCTGCAGGTGTGCCTCTCAATGCACAGGTCGGGACCGGTAGCCCATTCAAGCCGGGACAAGAGAGAGGGAGTGGGGCACTCTCTAATTCTAGTCTGTGTACCCCACCGAAAAAGTCAAGAAAGCATCATGCCAGGACGGAGAGAGTAGAGCCTAACTCGAAAATGGCTCTCAAGCACTTGCTCTGTGACACCACAGAGGGGAGTGATAGGGATAATTCCGGATATTCTACGGCACGCCATTGGCATCATGCGAGAAGCGCAAGGAGTGGACCCATGCGGATTAATGATTTGATTGATGGGAACGGAAGTGCGGGGGGGAGAGCAACTGTAGCCGAAGGTGCGCCGTTTGTACTCCCGCCTAGTGTGCGCTGGAGGTGAATAGAGTTTGGAGAGATCGGAGTAGAGAGGCATTGATTTAGACTTTTAGCGTAATCGCATTCATGAAATTTACTGCAACAACTCGAACACATAAAGAGTCCGGTGGGACTGCTAACAACTACTGAACAGAAGAGTGCCATTCTTGGAGCGTTTTGCAGCTGGTCGAGAAGCCAGCTTACGTCTACTTTGCGTGTTTTTGGGAAAGTAGTTACGTGAGAAATATCTAAAGCCTCGTACACAACTCTGACTCCCATCACGCAGTATTGGGGCATCACCTCCAGCCTCAGGGAAATTACAGAGGGAGAGGGGGCTGGAGACCGGAGTACGCAATGTGTGGTTTCAGAAATCGGGAAATGATTGCGGCAACTTTACACCTATCAATACAGCCCATGTGCAACGCAGTGGAGTGCAGTTTACAGCAAATGAGGAGGATGGAATGTGATTCGCAACTCGCGTCGAACCTGAGGTCAGATTACTGTGGGGGGATGAAGGGGGACAAGGTTGCGTGGGAGACGGACAGCGTGGGCGCGAAGATGGGGAATCAAGAGGGGTGTGGGATATTTTTAGGGAAACTTGCATTTTTACTGTAGAGGGAGATTTTATACTGTAGTCCGAGATTTTATTTGAATTTTAGAGAAGCGCACGCGTACGGCCCGGCGGAATCCGGGCCGGACGCGTGGACGCTTCTGGAAGGAATTTCGTAGAAATAAAAGAGAGAGGGTAACGGGCGCTGCGGGGAATAAAAGGGGGAGAAGACCACACTCGGCCGACCCTCACCACGGAACGGCACACTCCCCAAAACCGCCTCCCCATTTCACCGACAACAAGGGGGCACCGCCCGCAGTTGGTGTCAACACACCACTGTGCCAGGCCCCGTTACAACAGAGATGAGGGGGCACCGCCCCCAGTTGGTGTCAACACACCACTGTGCCAGGCCCCGTTACAACAGAGATGAGGAGGCACCGCGGCCAGGAGCATTCTCTTGACAGAAGCTTCAACAAACACTGTATACCAGTTTCCCAATGGCAACGAAAACATATGACATAATTCGGAAAGGCCAACAAAAACAATGAACTCCAGCGTCTATTGGACCGTTGTTCTCATATGAGGACACTTTTCGACATAATTCTTCATGATTTGCGCATTCTCGACAAGAAGGAAAAAGGTACCTCCGCTACCGTACTGGACTTCTGCCTTAGAGACAGAAAGAACTACAGTATGCGAGAATTGCATGCTCTTCCCTGTCGTTTTTATATATGCCTGGAAAAAGAAGCTTTTTCAAACCACGCTAAAAACGCATGTAAAATAACTTGGAAACCATAACGCTGACTTAAATTGGCAACTAGATACTAAATCTGGATTACATTCTTAGCCATTCTGTGTATTCAAAGCTATATTAATACCAAGAGCAAGTACGTAAAGAACATAGTGTCTAGCATACCTTCTTAAATGTTCGATTTCGTTTATATATATTTTGAGAAAAAGAGCTGTCCCCGTATGAGGACAAGCCCGGACAACCCCGGGTCAGGAATACACCAGAGTCTATCGGATCCTAAGTCCTCAAACAAGCGCTTGTTAAGACACACATGTGAGGACTTACGATCCGATAGACAAAAGTTATTTTACTTTTCTAGACAACGCGTACAGTTTACTGTACTTCCACACCTCCTCCATTTGGACTCAATTTCACGAAATTTAATGGCAAGAAAGCGAAACTCGGCAGCTTAATGGATGGGGCTATACAGGGGACCCTACCCATTAGTGCCGCCCCGTGTGAGGCCCCAAAATCATGCATTATTGAGAGATGGCATTAGTAGGTGACGTCGTCACATCTATTTTCATGCACTCGGCGGGTAATTAACGTCTGCCTGCTCAGCGTTGATTCTCTGTCGTGTTTTGCAGTGAGAAACGCGCGCTTTGCCGACCTCAGATACGATAGAGCATCTGAAACTTGGCATTTAGTCGCCAAAACTTCCAGCTCTCCAAACAATTCCGCAATCTCAACGACAGAGGTTACAGTCCTTCTCTCTCTCGCGTACTCTGCGCTCCCATCTTCATCACTTGATTGCGTTGTAGTTGAGTTCGTCACACCCTGAACCGTCTCAAAAACAGCATACTGTGGCAGCAAAAAGCAGCGTAACACCCTAGATCCGTGTGACACGTGGCACTTTTCGTGCTCGTGCGTCTGGCCTGCATTAGTAGGAGGGTAGCATAAGTAAAAGCGGCACTAATGGTCGTCCCCCCCCTGTACTAGCTTTCGAACTAGTCTCTTCACTGGCCCAAGTGGGCCAATGCTTTTTAAGTTTTATGAGAATCGCTAGCTACAGGGGGGTCGCGATATAGTGCCATCTTTGTTAGTGCCAGCTCCGATATAGTGCTACCCTTCTAGGGGTGGCACGAATTTTGAGCCAAAAATGAAGGGTCTCCAGAGAGGCAGGCAAGGCAGTTGGATGGACGTACTGCCCGAGAACCGCTGCTGCCGCGGAAAGATATTATGCAGTTGCTTACTAGAATAGAGACTATGGCAGAAAAAGGCAGGGTCGATGATGCAATTGGACATCTGCAAAAGTGTAGGCTGGCATTTATGGCTGCGAAAAAGGAGGGAGTCAATGCGACGGCTCGGCAGCTACACCTGATCACAGCAATTAACCTTGGTCTATATATTAACCTGGGTTCAGAAATAAACTGGACCAGGTTATTATTGGTTTTGACCTGGAGAAAACAGTCTTATGATAAGTCGCCTTTAGAGTTCAAAAAGGACGAGAACGCATGTCGCCGCCTCGATATGGTCTTTGGGAGGAGAAGCAGCTCTTTTCTGAGCTGCAGACAATAATATCCAAGCATCGTGTCCATTTCAATGGGCAAGAAGTAGAGCCGTAATTTCTTGAATACTTGTCAGCAATGTTAGAAATCAAGGTTAATCCAGTGGTTCACAAATAAACTGGACCATGTTATATCTGATTTGACCATATATTAATCTGGGTTCACAATTAATCCGGACCATGTTAAACATGGTTATAGACCTGAAAAAGGGGCCTCAGAATTAAGTTGGCCCAGGTTAATTGCTGTGATCAGTGTACTAATAACAGAAATGCTTGATTAGACTTGAGTCTGTAGTGAAGATGCAAAGTATGAGTGATGGCGTCCTGCGAGCGGTCTTGCTGAGCAGTGATGCGCAAGGGAGTGGCTGCAAAAAAGCCGTAAATCTCATTATCTTACAGTGCCTGGTTCGATATAGTGCCGTTTTCGGCCCACTGACACAGGGTAGCACTATATCGCGACCCCCCCCCTGCACCCCGGTAGTGTTGAGATGACAAAAGTGCTGATAGCGCAAACCTCCCCAGTTTTGCCTCATTCCGAAAATACCGAATTTTTATTTCTAAGCCAATTATAAGGCGGCAACGGTCGCCAAGCTCAACATTTTGCCCTTGGTCGCTTTTGCTTCCGGTGCTTTGTTAGTTCCGAATCCTCTTGGTGCCAAGAGGATACGGGCAAGAACCAAGCAGGCCGATGCTGGCGTTCTTGTCGCTTTGCCTGCTTCTCTGCCTCATGCGCCGCTCTTTCCGACTTGCCCGTACACAAACGTTTTGAGTTGGAACAACGCTTAGGGAAACATACACTAATACTGTATGTGTGATCCCTGTTCAAATAAACCTCACCCCTTCACTGTGTGTGTTACTATTTGCAGTACCTGGGTGCGGTGTCTAGACGATAAGCGATTTGCCTCCTACAATATGAGGTCAGGCATAGCCTCATATGAGGCCAAGCTTTTTGCAAACATATATACATTAAATCGAAACTCTATAAAAGTCAGTATGGACACCATTTCTTTAACGTACATGCCCTCGGCAATAGCATCTTGCCAAACATTGGAAATAGCAGTTGTCATGCTAAAGAAGTTTCATTACCCGGGTGACATTTCATATATGAGTTTGGTTTCCAAGATATCAACAAAAAACGTTTGGAGGTTGGCCAAACGGCCTCTCTTTGGGCATTCTAAAAATGGCTGGAAAAGACGTGCAGATCCCACCAAACTCCATCCTTCCGCAATGCAGAAGTCACCTGCGGTGGCGGGAGTACCATTTTCCTTCTTGTTGAGCAAGCACAAGGCGAGAAAAAATAAGGTGAAGAGTAGCCTCGAATGAGGTCACTTGTCATCTTGACACTAGCTGCAACGGCGCCACGCTTGATTG